GAGGCACGACGAGCTGGACCGGCGCTCTCGTTTCCAGCGCGCCGCTGCCGTGCTTTCCATTCCCGGAGAGCTCGTGCAGCCCTCCGTGGAGCTGCTGTTGTGAGAGCAAAATAGCGTCCTCTGGGAAACACGCCTTTCCCTCGAGTTTTATTGCAGCTAAAAGCTGGCACGGGGTCGTACCTCTGTGGTGTCTTGCTTATAAATTTCAGCTTGATTCAGTGCCACATCCTGGTTTGTTCTGCATCAGGATAGTGGAAGGGTGGGACAGAGGAGGGGAAACTTGGGTCTGTGATGGAGCACGGATGTGAAGTGAAGGTTTGAATGGGTTTGCGGATGAGCTTTAGCAGGAGAGAGTGAGAGGAGATTGTCTCATTGCTTTGGAGCAAGGGCACCCAGAGTGGCTCCTGTCTGCGCTGCCGTTCCCCCAAAGCCCCTTTCTAACAATCTGCTATAATAAAGTACCCTTAACTAGACCAGGGGTGACTCCCAGTAACACTAAATCCACCACGCTTCATAATAAGGTTCTAGTGCCTGGAGTATTTTGCCTAAAAATAGTAAAAAAAAGGATGACTGTTAGGGGAAATCTAAACCAGAAGGAAACAAACAGCTTTTAATTTTTCCCTCTGTTTCAGAGTGAATGATGCCGAGGAAGAAGAAACCCACAGAGGGCCTTGATTCTCGAGGTCAGGATGGGGAGGAGGAGGAGGAAGAGAAGAGGGCCCTGCTCAATGCCAAGAAGAAGCGCAGTTTTGTGGACGCGTTTATTGTTATATCCGACAGCGACGGAGAGGTCAGTGGTCCCAGTGGGGAGCCCAGAGTCCGGGCAGGGCTCCAGGAGGGTGTCTGAGCATCCCATGCTCTACGTGCTGGGTCAGGCTTTGCTCTCTCTGTGTGTTTCGTGCTGCTCCTCTCCTTATATAGGAGATGAATCAAATCCTATTTGACTAGGAAATGAATGGTGCGCTTGGTGAGGGTGAGTTATGAGTCTGGGATTTGATAACCAAATCCTCTCAGTACTGAATTTGAAACGTAATTTAAAAGTAACCTTTCCTCAATCCCTTTACAATTTTTTTTTTCATAAATTTTATTTGATTGATTTCCATCTAAACCACAGAAACATGATTCTGTATTATGTGCAAATAGATAAGAAAATGATTCAGAACACAGGCTTGCAAGTAGTTCAGAACACAGCTGGTGTCTGATAAATTGATCCTGCATTATGGAGATCTGAGTTTTTAATGCACTTCCGTAGGGTGTAAAGGTGAACTGCAGTGCCAGTTTGCTTGGCCAAGACCTATGGACCCAGATCGTTTATTCCCAGCATTATGTTATGTCAGCTTTACCCTAAAAGATTGAAATGCCTGTAACTGTTGCACTGGCCTTGAGGTGCTATTTTTTAGGGAAAATCCAGAGCCCTGAGAATCTGGCTTCAACACAAATGATGGACATGAGAGGAAATTATTAGAATCAGTTCTTTATGTATGGCTGTTAAGGCTTTGCTGTTTTGCCTGTGATTTGGGATCCTAAGCTGCTTTTTATAATTCTACCATTTTCAAAAGCATTTCAGTTCACTCTCAAGCTGTAGATCTTAAATCAAGGCCCCCTCGCTCGCACATCTGGAGCATGAGTCTCTTCAATAAGGCGATTATCATGTGAGAAGGGGAAAAGCACTAGAAATAAACAGTAAAAAGCTGTAGGGCAAATGATATTGGATGTTTTTTTTTTTTCTTCACATTGTCTGAGTTCTTTCCCATTGGGAAATTCCCTGAAAGAAATGGAACATATGGCAGTAATAGTTCATTGGGGTTAAACCCTTAGCTCTGCAATATGCTAAGTTAACTTCAGATGTCTGCTGCATCACTGGCCTTTACTGTGAAACCTATAAGGAAAAAAGAAAGCAGCAGCTATAAGAGATGCTGCAGTACATAAAAGATCAGGACCTGTTATTGTCTACAATTATTCATCTCAATGTGCGTGTATCTGAAAAAGAGGAAACAAACGTCTCTTAAAACCCATCTATAAAAAGGTTAGGCTCCCCAACTGTTCTGTAAGTTTGTCTATAAACAATAAATTCTGATGGCATAATCGGTCATATTACAGAAAAGGATATGCTCAGAGAGGCCGTTAAAGAGCCAATTAGGTTCTGTTTAAGTGACAACAGTTCAGTCGGTTGAATAAGTGCATTTATTCAGTTCAGTCTCTTTCTTTCTGTGAGTCATCGGCTTCCAGAGCCACAGTCTCTTGTAGTGTTGTTTTCTGGAAAAAACAACCAAAAATTTGATTTACATGGGATCTCAAAAAAAATATAACTGTCTGGCTTCTGTAACTGTCTCATTTTTTCCGTGTGCCTCAAGTTGAATTTCAATCTCAAACCTTGTAGCTGTGGTTCTTGCTCTAGTAAGACCTTGTTATGTGTTCAAGAAGAGGTGTGGGAATCTCAGATCAATAGCAATTTTAGAGAACAATACCTTCTCAATTAATCTTGCATCTGTTAGGACATGGTTTCTTATGAATCAAAAGCTACAAGGACAATTTGGGCATCATTGATTCAATGGCTTTCTTCCTTGGCAGTCTCTTGGCAGGTATCTATAGAACAAGTCCCTAGTTCTGCTTCCAGACCAGCAGATCTTGTAGCAGCTGCACCTGGAAAGCCTCCAGCTTCTCACTTTTGATGATCTTTGGCAGACTGCCTCCCCTAGGAATGTTTCAGTCATGCTGGATTATCAAGCTCATCCATGTTATTTTGCCAAGTTTTCTTTCTTTACTCATGTCTATGCTGTGGCATCTGTGGAGCTGCATCAGAAGGAGGTTTTCTGGACACGGGGCTTTCTGATCTCCGTTACATCTAATCTTGGATTCAGGGAATGTGTCTCTCTTTAGAGTAGGGTCAGACAAATTAAGAACAGTCTCCCTGGCTCTGTGGAAATGAGAGGAGATGACCTTCGCCGCGTGCAGACAGGGTCTCCGAAAACACAGACGTGATGAATGAATAAAATGGTTACTGTCTCCCTTGACTGTTTGAATCTTGCAGGGAATGCCAGAAGAAAGGTAAGTCATTCACTTGCCCTCAAACACACAATATTCTAAGTAGTGCCAATGAAAGCCTTTTTACAGATAACTCCTGCTTGTTTTCTGGTGCTCCTGCATGAACAGGGGTCAATCTTTGACTATCAAGATTGTCTGAAACCAGGCCTGAAACATGATTTTCACCCAGCAGGAGGTCTGATCAAGCGAGAGCATCGAGCATGGCGAGAGGCCAAGTAGTTGTGCTAAAATGTCTGACTGATCTGCAGCCTTCAATGCAGTTGATCCTACAAGACTGCAGATCTGCTGGGGGAACTTGCAGAGGGGTCACACAAGGATGATTTAACCCATTTCTCTCAGATTCTTTGTGAACCAAGAGGACACCTGCTTCAACTCGTGGACTTCACATGAAGTTGTATGGGCTCCTTCTGCCAGATCTTCTGTTCATCAGTTCCACCAGCCCTTAGGAAATGACGAAACCCCAGGGTGACAGTGTCACCTACTTCTGCCTGGCATCCAGTGCCTGTCTTCCTTTAGATGTGGAGCATCTCTGCTTTAGTATTCACATACTCAGAGATACTTAATGTCTGGGGCATATTAAGTTCATCGATGCTTCAAAAAAATACCATGTTGTTCTTGGTAGAAAGAGGGAAGCCTTTTTGGGATTTGCCAGTAATAGTTAGCCCCTGCCCTGCTCCTGTTCTCTGTCAGATGTGACTGGACTTTTCATCTTGGGTCCAGACACAGCCTGACGACCCCCTCTCCAGTGGAGGTCTTGCTCTAGAGACGATGGTGCTGGAAGCATCCCAGCTGGAACAGCAGTGCCTACCTTACATGCTGCCCATCTTTTTGGGAAACAGAACCATATGAGGACGTCACCGCAGCATCCCGCTGGCCCCGCTGGCCTCCTCTCTGCTGAAGTCCCAAGGGAGACGCTGCCTCCGATCCCTGGGGAAAACGCAGTGCCAGGTTTGCTCTTGAGGAAGAGGATGGCTCTGACTCCCGTTGCAGTCAGAGTGGGACTGAACCAGCCTCCCAACACTCCAGTAAAAGCCCCTTCTTCCACGCGGGCCTCCCTCCCAGGCATGGGAAGCGGCGAGTCTGGCGTGAGCTCTGCCGTGTCGCCCTGTTCACCTCTCCACTTCCAGGAGGTTTGTTCTAACGAGCTGAAAGACACAGCAGAGCTGAAGCAAATTCTGAACTCAAGTCAGAAACTAATAAAGTAGGGTGTGATATTAATTTCAGCAGCAGCCTTGGCTAGAGCCAACACGTGGCACTTCCAACATCTAATTGGCTTTTAAAAATAATTTAGTCTCGTTTTCATCTGTGTATTTCCCATGCAGGACATGTGTTGTTTGGCTATGCCCTATTGTTAGATGGTCCCAACTGCTGTTGAACAGCAAAATTAAGCAGACCTTTTGACTTTGCAGTCTGTGCTGTCGGCTGTGGAGACGTTCTTTTGTAGCCTCTCCTTTCCTGAGTCAGTAGAGCTGGTTTTTTTTGGTCATTTCTAATGTGGATTCAAGGGAACTGCCTGTGGGAGTCTGGCTACTAGATTCTGTTTATAGGCTTTTAGAAGTGAGTAGAGCTGTATATTTTCTACTGACAGAGTTGGGTCCGTGCCAAAGTGTTTTTAAAATGGGAATTTGCTTTTCTGCTGTCTGTTGCGACCTAGCAGGTTAAAAAAGGAGGCAGTAGTGGCTGCCTTCCACTAAATGTGTAAAGAACTTTGGAAACCTCTATTTTTCCTGATCTGTGTACAATATCGACAGTGAAATCGCTCATAAGAGAGCGTTATAAATTAAACTGCAGAGCATGGCACATGAGAAAGAAAATTTGGATTCCTCCTGGCCATTATGCTTTAAATTGACGGCGTTGGAGGAGAGAGACTCTCCAGGCTGGCACGGAGCAGAGGTGCTCAGTTCCCAGCTCACCTCAGCTATAATAATTGTTTTCCCTTGGAAGTTGTGTGTTGGAGATGACCTTGTAACTAAGAGCATTGGCTGCAGTTTGGGAATATTTTAATTGATTAAGATTATTTTTGGACTAGTGATCTTATTAGAAAGGCAGTTGGTTGAGTGGCCCCCTGAGTTCCTATTATCCTCGTAGACAGATGAGCATTAAAAGGTTGGGTCAGATAGAGCAAACCCTGTTGTCTTCTCTCTTTCCTGGCCTCTTCTGTTACTACCATCCATGCCTGCATTTATGCAGAGCACTCTGGGGCCTGCGGGGCTGTCTCCCAGCAGAGGTACAAACAGCTATAAATCCTAATTAAAAGGTATGTTTTATTTTCTGTCTTTTAAAGTAAGGAAGATTTAAGAATTCTTGGAATTGAGATGTGTGTGTATGTTTTGGCCCATCAGGATTAATTGGATTTGCTTCAGCAGTTCCCTGTACTGGAGCTGTTCACTAGAACGTGGCTCAGCAATTTAAACATCTTTCTCAAATGTATGAGGTTCACACAACACGTGTCCTGCAGTGATTTTGCTCCAAGAGCTGCTGTAAGTGTCGCCGTTCTTCGGGACACGGCGTGGGGAGCAGAGGCACCTCCCTGAGCCAGGAAAGCAGGCAGTTCTCCTGGAGCAGGGCTTGCCTTTAGCTTGGAGCCCCAGAGGACTTGGAGCCTGTGCTGTCCGTACTGCGTATTGCAGACGTGTGTGTCTGTGTACAGACCAAACACTGCTAGCCAGGGAAGGCTCGGTGTGCTGATAAATCACATTGGTGCCCTGGAGAGAGCTGTGGACGAGCGTCAGGGTTGACCTTCCAGCAAGTGCAGGGCAAGATTGATGCCTGGAGAGGAGAACTGGGGATTACAGAGCCCACTGGGATGAAATTGCCCCGTCTTAAGCAGCAGCAGCACTGCTTAGCACTGCTGGAGGGTGTTTAGTGGGACAGCTTTTGCATAACGTCCTCCAGTGTGTAATTCTAACGTGCTCCGGGTGCCATCCCACAGGCTCTTCCCCACTTCCGTATGCGTGAGCCCCCCACAAGGTCAGCACGGAGGCTGCCAGTGCAAACCACAGCAGGGCAGTTTGCAGGTTAGCAAGTGGCATTATGGAAAACTGTGGAGGGGACGAGGTGTCCTGAGAGAGAGCGGTTTTAACTGCTGAGCTTGAGCTAGATGCGCTCACAAGTTCATAGCATTTGTCTTCTAGTAAGAGCGAATCTGTCTGTGAAACAGTCATTTGGAGACAGAGGAGTAGCTCTCAGAAATGGGGTACCAAAAGCAGGTTGGTGGGAGAAGGGAAGGAATCAAAAGGGAAAACCCCATAGGAGGGAGCATGAGGGTGGTGGAGGGGAGTGTGACTTGCTAAGCCTGATAGCTTCCTTCTTGTGAGCTGATTCTTAAATCAGAAGAAGAGAGGAGTGAAGTATGCATTAGGGGATGTAAGAGGTGTAATGTATTAGGGTTTCAGAAAAGCGCTTAATAGCATGTCTTGCAAAATCTTAGTTAGATAAATAATTCAATTTGGTCTCGATAGTAACATTCCTGGATTGAAATCCTGCTAAAAGACTGTCAGGAAAGGCTTGTGATGAACAACGGAGCTGCTGCTTCTCGGGAGATCTAAGGCTGAGGCCAAGAAGATCAATATTAGGGCTGTGTGTATTTTAACATCCTCATTAACGATCTGTTAGCGGGAGCAAGTGGTATATATACATTAATAAAGTCTACTGATAGCACTCACATAGTCTTGAACAAAACTCAGCATAGAGATGCAGTCCAAAGGATTTAATAGATTAAGACACATGGGCAATGAACAGAAAAAATAGATTATA